ATATACCTCTTATATTCCAGGAACCTGTTTTGAAATATTCCGATATCCGTTTTCGTACTCCTATTTTCATTGCCTTAGTCGTCATAGTTTTCATTCCGAGGCCGTTATTTGGGACACTGCTAGTACGTGGGTGGGCTACTAGCCCTCTCCGCACACCCTCTGTCCCGAGGAAGGGGGAGGTTATTTCGAACTCATGTCCTAGAGAGATTACCAATTCCATGGCTTCGAGGTCTCTCGCCCGTCTAGAGTTCCTCTTCTGCTCTTCTTCTTTGAAACCGCCGTTGAGGTCCTCTTCTGGAGTACTTCTTAGTCAGACCTACCTTCGACCTGTCGCGGGGGCCAAGGGAGGCCTACCAGTAGCTACGCTACCGCCGGCATAGCTCTTGGGGTCATGGGGATACTCAAGCTCCGCCACCATCGACAATTACCAGCATCGTAATTACAATAATAATTACACTAATATTGGAAAAGTTGAATGAATTTAGTAGCCGTGGGCATCTACAGTTGAAATCCAATATTAATTTCTTAGTTTCTGAAAAGTAGCGAAAATGAGGGTGTTTATCGGGATTTTGATACCCCAAGACCCATTTTAAATACCGTTTCGTCACCCGTGCCCATACGGGTGAAGGTAATCTAAGTCTTCCTCATGAACCCCTTTTGAATATTCTTTCCATTTCCACATTTATTGTGCATTTCAACCTCCCAGTTTCATACCCTCCGAATTTCAAACTCTCCTTCTCTAGTCGCTACCCCGGCGTTTTCGATGCTGCGAAATCACATTTTCCTATCTCGGCACAGCCTCCACACATCTGCCAGCAAATAAAATCGCACTTTAATTGTGTAAATTATATGTATATGTTCTATTTTATGTGTTTGGCGAGTCTCACAGTCAAGTCTCGACATCATTCTTATCACAACCTAATATTGAAGCTTGATCGGAGAGTTCTACAAATTATGTCGAAGCTTCCCCACTACTAACCGGCTGAGTCAACTCTAAGCCAGAATTACTGGTGTCTCTGCAGTGACTCTGGTCGGGAGGACCGTTCCAGTCCGTACGATGATGAATTATCGGTAATTAGAAAGGTCGAATTCAGACGCTGTCTGGAGGCAAATTATAGCGGCCGACTGCTCTGATCCTAAGTTTTCCATGATTTCTACAATAAATACCGAATCTCGTACCACCCTCCGAACAAGTGAGTCATAGACCGAGCATGATCATTCCTTTATCTTCCTTGTCCAATCCTCTCTCCTCTCTCACACACACACACACACACACACACACATGTGCTACACTACCACACACATCAGGAACGTAGCGCTTCTCCTGGATGGGGCCGTACTCCGCTGGGCAGATACCTGGTGGGGGGAAAACTCTGCATGCTGAGTTTTTTTAGCACAACCCTCTTGTCGTTACAGAGAGGAGACACTGTCGTACTTTAGGAATGGTTTCTCGACAAAATGACATATACATTTTTTTTGTTCATTGGGGGAGGTGACTCGCCACTTTAAATGACGCATTCTGGATACTCCTTTCAAGTTCTTAAGTTTGCATGTATGAATTAATAAGTGCGCCTGCAAGCTTCATTATATGAAAACCCGATAACAACTCGTCATAGTATCGCTCTTGTTTTCCTTTCGCAGAACTAACGCAACGAAACAAAAAAATCGAAGTTGTGTCGATATCGTAATAGAGAAGATTCAATGACGATATCACAAAGCAAATTTTATTATATCGTAAATGATGAAACGGCAATGTTTCCAATACATTTGACGGGTTTTCTTGCTCTACTTCATTCGTCTGAATTGCCCCCTCCGAAAAATATGAGTAGGGTCTCATGAGTATGAATTGTATACTTATGTAATGTAGAAAGTATAAAATCATTTGTGCCTTTAGGAGGGAGTTAGTATCAAAAAGCAAATGAGGTGCCCAAACAATATTTGATCAATGAATCAGGAGAAATAAATGGTCTGAAAATCTGAACTAGACTAGGGCAATAAATGTAACAACGAGAAAGATGCGATAACCTTGTGCAAATGATAACGTATGTCGCAGAATGTCGACGGGTATGAAGTACAGGTTCGCTTTCTATGACACATTTCATCTGTGTTTGGTTGTATTTTTAGGGTAATTTCAAAGTGCGTTTCAAGGTTTAGAAGAAACGAAAGATTTTGCCTTTCTCGTACACATATTCCAGAGGATTCGTGAATTTTACCTTGAAGATTTCCGTTTTTCATGTCTTTAATACTAATTTGGTATATGAAATCCAGATTAGCCATGTATAATTATGCTTTAAAAACAATGATACGAACTCAAGAATATTCATGTTATCAAAACGAATGCATGCATTGTAGGAGAATGAATCGTGTTTTTGTGTTAATAAATATACTGGATTACAATACCTCTATTGTGTGTGAACTTTTTCAATCGTTTTCATGTGAAAGTTATGAAATTAGCATTGAAAGACATTTTTTGCGGGACTGATTCCCGAGCTGTTCAGTGTTGATTCGAATCACATTCGAGTGTACAATTTTAGTATTGTTTTCTCATCATCATCATCCGTCATCAAATCATTAAATCGGAAAATATAGGACTAATATTGTTTCAACGTACGATATGATTTTATGAATAATGCATTCAATGATAATTAGATTTTTAGGTTTTTAATCACAATAAATAACTTTCCCTTATTTGTAAGAGAAGATCCAATTCCGGTAGTAATAAATAAAATGTTGATTTACATGTTTCCTTTTATTTATCATTTATTAATCGCATCTTTTCCACTTCATTAATAATTCCTTCAATAACAAATCGATTCCCTAGCCACAATGGGGAAACGACGTTGTTGGGGAAACTAGTTTGTTTATTTCGGCCCTCCATTCGGCCCTATTGACACGACCTGGTAATTTAGCCGTTTTCGTTTTTCGTCCATCAAAATTCTCAGTGGTAAGTGAAGAGTACCAATGCTATTTTTTCTTGCGGTGAAAGTAACACAGTCATTTACGAAGTTTTGAAGCGAAATGAATTGTCTTATGATAAATTAACCTGTTCAAGGATCACGTCATTAAAATGCATAACAAAAACATAACCATTACAAAAATAATTATTCTTGCACTTGTCCTAGAACTTGCCTTTACTTGATATTTGTTTCTTGCTGAAATTTTGCATTCATTTTGGTGATCCGTTGTAGAGGTGTTTGCATAAGAAACATTTATTTAAGTAGCTATATCATAATAAAAGAAAATAACAATTTTGTAGAAGTGATTTTGTTTATAATTGTAGCAAGATGGGTAGAATCGTTAGTTGCACCAAGAATAAAATAATTAATATCCAACTTCATCTTCAATTTTGAAATAAGCCAAAACGTTTGTCACAGTGTTAAGTTATCAACATAATTGCAATTTTATTTCACTGTTTTCAATATCAGATACAGCCCACGCCTCATTAGCGATTCCTTCCTTGTGACCTGAATAAATACGAACACTTCCCTCTTGTTATTTGCGTACGGAAAGTTACGTAGAAGAACAATGGTACTTGAGACTCATACACTTGTTCAAAGCTTCTTCTCCCAGGGAACGGAAATACTCGTAGTATTCTCGTGCTAGCTGGTGTATTTTAACTAGTTTCTTTAGCGAGTGTGTATTTTTAATTCCACTTGTCTTGTTAATTAGCAAACCTCGAAACCCAACTTTTCCTCCTTCATTTCCATTCGCATAAAAGTAAAATCAATAAATAATTTAAAAATAAAAAGTTTAATAAAGTAAACCATTTTTACTTTTCCATTTTACTTCGTTATAATTTATAATTATTAAAAAAAGTAATGAATAAAAGTAAAGAACTAATCGAGCATATAAACAATTGTGTTCCCCAGTATTTATGAATTCATCGAGAATGAAAACTAAACTTAGTTAAAGAAGAATGTTTTTTCCTTCTCATGTTAAGCGGACGAAAATTGAACTACTAGATATGATAATTAGCATGGCGATTTCTTTTTATCAAAACCCGTGTTCAAACACTTTAAGAATTAGAAGAAACTCTTCAAAACAATACGGTATCACTCAAAGAATACGGTATCATGCAAAGTACGTATAATAGAGACTGTCGTTTCAAAACCACTCATCTTCAGTATCTATTTCTTTGTATTTGTTCATTGAACCGTACATTGAGTTAAAAAGTTAAATATTCAGATTAGAACTTTCAATAACTTCTGAATAATGAGATAAATTTTCGTATAAATAAAATATTGAAATTTGTTTCCTGAAAGATAAATCGTTTGTCCTGCATAAAGAAATACCTTTCTCTTGTTATTGTATACTATATAATAATGGCTACTTAAGTATATTAAGATAATACAAACGCCAAAACGAGAAAAGGTACGCGTACATTCATATATAATAAATTTAGTGTTGACTTTTCAAAAGGGATAGAAATTTATGTACAGTGATCATCAGTTGTTCTGCCTTTCGAAAGGTTCAAACCAGACTGTCCTCTTTTATTATGTCCTTCGTCTTCATTTCCTTTTTCTGGCTTTCTCCTCTTTCCTTTCTTCAATACGATATTTTATTCCTCTTCTTCTTTTTTCGTCCAAACGTGCATTAGGAATTGTAATGCACGTAACAATTGTAATGTAACCTGCACTAATCCATTAAAAAAATTTGCAAAATTTCAGAAACTAGAATCAGATATAATTTTCACATTTAAAAGTAAATTAAATAAAAAAGGGTGACTTTGGTTACAATAAAGTCTTTTTGGTCAACAATATACATAGGGAAATAGTCATATTACTTTCCCCAATGGTTAAACTTACAATAATCAACCAAATTCCACCTTTGAGCATTTGAACTTCGTTTACCATTATCCCCATTATTTAAATCCGTATAATTATGTAAGTTCAACCTCATGGAACGTATTCTAATTTCATATTATAAAAAATATACGCATTTTGTAATTGTATATATAATACATTTTAAAAACATTAATACAATTAAAGTTTATTTTTCAGTAAAAATTGAAAAAATCCAAATTCAAAATGAGGGAAATTGTGCATATTCAAGCCGGCCAATGCGGCAATCAAATAGGGGCCAAGGTAAGAAAATAATTAAATAAAAATGAAATCAACGTCATTCACCTTTAATTTTCTGTTATGTGCTGTCTGTATTCTGTGAATTTTAATGGCAACCTATTTCAGTTTTGGGAAGTAATATCCGATGAACATGGCATCGACACAACTGGAACATACCGAGGAGAATCGCCCTTACAGCTGGAACGGATCAATGTCTACTACAACAAAGCGTCAGGTAAGAGATGGCGAAGATTTGATTGAAGCAGATCAATGGTTCCCGTCCGTTTCTCCCTTTTCAGTCATTGATTAATTCCCAACTTAGAATGGTCGCTTTTTGGCAAGAGTGCAATTTATTCCACTTCCCTCTCCATTATTTAAGTAACTTTACATATCAGCTGAATAAAACAAGTACCTCCAATGGAGAAAAGAAAACCTAGAGTATCACTTCTAATATTTTTCCGTGAATTGGAAATGTCTTGCAAGACTCCTCCTCTTGCCATCAATTCAATTCCAATCTTAATGTTAACGGGTTTTTGTTTTTAAAAAGTTATTAATGCTTACGATTTTCATACGTGAGCTCTTTAAACACACTTATGGCTAAATACCTCGGAAACCCCAAAAAGTCTGTTTCTAAAAAATATCAGGAAAAAAGTAGGTTGAAAATATCGAATGATTGGTGACACTAAAAAATGTTTAATCGCTCATTTTTATACATTTTAAAAATATTGAAAGGAAAAGGAGAAGAAATTCCAACCTTTCCAAAATATTGATCACCATACTGTCGTATAGGAATATTTCCCCCTTTTAAAAACTATTTCCAAAGCCTTGTACGTGTCAAAATTTGACGGGTTGCCATTAATGAGAGATGAGATATAAGATAAATGTAAAGTACACACACCAATATTCAGAAAGCAAATTGCTAAATAGAAAGAAGAAAGAGTAAACTTCTCTTATTTAAATATTATCTTTGTATGACAGCAGATATTCAGAATTACGACATCTGCGCTGACTTTCTCTTTTCCTACGTCCAGTTAATGTTCGTTTGCGTCTTTCGGAGCGCGTGGGAACGATTCCGAATGCGACCTAACTTCTGCACAACTTCACAAAACCAAACAAAACTCACTGTCCGAACGTTCTCAGCAAAATACACCAAGAAAACAAATACATGCAAACACAGCCAGTAACAAAATGGAATCATTACACCTGAAACACAACCTTGACGAATTGTAAACAATATGCGCGCCATCAAGCGGCGAGGTCTTACATCAATCGATGTACTCATATCTGTCGATAATTGAAACACTAGAAAACATATTGACTATTGCTAAGCGTACCATTAAAGACTTATTTATATAATTAATTTACACCGTAAATGATGGTGAATCAACACAAACAATACCTGTCTACATATCTACGGATCACATTCTTTCAAAGGGAAAATAAATACAGTCTGTTCAGTAGAAGCTGAACGAGCCGATGAGTGAAAACGTTATTTTCAATAATATATAGGTTCTTATAATAAGTAGATAATATATAATAATAATAATAATATAAGTATTATATTCATATTGTTATTATATCATTCATGGAGTATTTTCTAGCAGTGTGGCTGGGTAACTTTGCCCATTTCTGCCACGTTAAGGGAAGAGCTCGGTCACTGGGGAGAGAGGATTGTCATTCTGGCCCCCAGATCGGATATGGGAGCCCTCTTTGTGGGTAAGAACTTGCGGAACTAGCATGACCATGTTTGCAGGTGCTGTTATTATTATTATTTATTATTATATATTATTAATAGTTATTATTATATTTATGTGTATTGTAGATACTAAGTGCAGAGTGGAAAGTACGTTCCGCGCGGCCGTGGTGGTGAGCCTGAGCCAGGCACATGGATATCCGTGCGATCGGGGCCTTCGAATGGCGACTCATTCCGGCGGGACAACGTTACGTGTTCGGAGCGTAGTCGTGCGGGCAAACAACTGGGCAAGGGCAGCATACGCAGTAGGGGGGAGGCTGGTGGAGCACGCGGCTGTGCGTGGTGCGCGTCAAGGAGGGTGGAGAACTGCGACTGCTGCAGGGCTTTCCAGCTCACGCACTGTGTGGGACGGGGCAGGGGTCGGCATTTGGCAGCGCTGCCCTGCCATATCCAAGAATAAGTCCGGAGGAGTACCCGGACCGCATAATGACCACCTTCAGCGTCGTGCCTTCGCCCAAGGTTCGCTCTCCACTAGTTGATTATTTCGCGTTTTCGGATGCATCAACTGCTAAAGTCATTAGTCCGGTAAATGTAGTCAAGGCCGGCGATTAGTGATAAGTCGGAATTGGTGGTTGACCTTGGTGGAGTCCCCCCTCCCCCCTCCTTCTCTCACTAAAAATATACATGACGGGAAAAATAATTTTTTTTCTTCAAATTGTCCCGTTTATCATTAAATTGTTACCACATTTATTTTCAGTTAATTTTGCAACAGTTCTACCCTTTGCATTTTTTATATAAACCCATTTAACAATTTTTGCAAACCGGTTTTTGTTGGTCATGTCGCTATAAAATCGCATTACTGTTGAGCGGATCTTGCAAATTAGTAGTTGATTGCAGTACTTTTTGAGTCGACACAATACCGAGAAACTTCGTTCATTTTTGGAATATGGCGTTTATGGAATATTTCTCTCATCTCAAATTCCGGCTGGGTATTTTACCCACTCGGAATGCTTCGTGTGGGTATAGCTACTCACCATATTCACATTATCCGACGGGCCTGAATGTAGATAATTATCCTCGAGCGGTGGCGTTGTTCTACCCTCTCTTGATAGTGAGATCCGGCGCCGATCTACACGCCAACTAGTGGGTGTTTTCCCAACCAGATATCTCCCACCAGCGGGGCGCCGCCTCAGCCAGGTCAAGATCTAAGCTCCCGGCTGTTCTCCCGGCATGTGTAGAAGTGTAGTGTGAATAAGTAAGGGGTGAGGATAAGAGAAGGATGACGAAGGAAAGATCGCGCGCGGTCCGCGGCCCGTTTGTGAAGGTACTTTTCCGACTTTCGCGTGGTGTTAATCGGAGAAACCACGAAAACCACCAATCAAAGCAGCCCAGCTATCTAGCTAGGGTCGAAAATCTGCCACCGTTACCACTCGACCCGTAGGACCTCCCGGCCAGAGAGCCTGCAGTGACTTCAGTAGGCGCCCAGGTCGGTTTCACTTTCGGCGTCACCAACTACGTGATCGGGAATTGGACTATGTGTTTTCCGTTGAGAGGTGATGAGGGAGATGGATGTTCTAACGAATGTCAGGTGTGCGTGCGCATGAACATTTTACAAGGGTGTGTGGAAATCTTCGAAAAACGCTGATTTGTCCATACTATCTAGCATGTGAGATTTTTGCTCGCCAAAACCAAACTTTCCTTCTTCAACCTCCCCTAGAACCACCATTCCGCATAACATCGCGGTGTGTCTGTGAAGGGCATAGTTTTTCCTCTCCTCCTCGCCCTTCTTCAGCGTGGTGTCCTCGCCCTTTCCCTTTCGGCGTCTTCAACTACGAAAACTGAGAATTTTCGGCAGATAAATTCGCATTGTAGGTCCCTCACACCGAAAAAGTAGTTAATTGTTGTTTCATTCATTACATTACCTCCAGCAACTTTTTGTGAAGTAGAATCCACATTTTTGGTGTATTTGATGAAGAAAAATTGATTTTCGGCAAAAAGTCTGTCCGCCCTTGAACAATGACAACTGCTAAACCGCAAACAGAAATTTTGACCGAAATTGATACTTCTGTATCAATCTGACTGTTGTCATTAATCCTTGAACTTGAAATGCCTATTTTTATTTTACATGAAGTTTATCCGTACTTTCAAATTTCTCTCAAAAATGACTTCGAACTTTTTTTCTCAGGTTGAGCAAAATAGGCTTATTAAAATGGCGCAGGTAAAAAGTTTTCTAAATTCTCTATTTCCAAAAATTTTTCAGGGCCATCTGCAACTTCAATGTTGACTGTTGAGATATTTTTTTAATAAAATCTGTTCTTCAAAATTAGATATTTAAATAATGTCATTTAAAATTTATTCAAAACATGAGTAGTTTTGGCGTAATTTTGCTTGAAATAAAGGCAATTTCCACAAAAACAGCTAAAAAATTTCTATGAAACTGCAAAGTACATAAAATAGCGTAGATCCCATTCGCGTTGAACTCTTTGGATTTTCGAAAATTTCAAAAGTTACAAGTAATGCGAGGAATTAACGATGTAGCGTCCCTCGTAGTATGCAGTAGAATGTATTGTCCACATTAAGATTGTCGCGTTTATTGCCACGCGAAAGTATATGCATAAAGTACAATGTGTGACACTTCTCCGCCAAACGCATGGTAATGCAAACAAAATTATGAATCAGTGAGTTTCGCATCGTCACTGCCAACAGCGTCACTTTTCCTGTTTTCCTAGACTCATCGCTTTGGTAGAGAAACGTTTTCTCCTTCCTGTTTCTCCAAGCTGAACTGGTCTCCTTCCTAAAGCAATTTTTGAACCATCGTGAATAGGTATACATTTTATTTTGGATTGAAAGGTGAAAATGGAGATGACTGATGCAAATGATGTGGATGAAAATGGAGATGCATGATGTGTGTGTTTGGGCGTATTTATTGCGACTTGCCCCTGGGGGTGATGAAATTTTGAACGGAGTCAATGATCATGGGGTCGACTGGGAAAGGGGAGTCAATGGTCTAATATGAATGGCGGTTAATAGGTATTATCAAAATCCCATTGAATAAAAAAATATTAAATGAATTTGATAATTAATTCTTTTCTGATATAGAGAAACAAAACATATAATAATAAATTAAAAATTCTCCCGTCTTATTTTGTATCCATTTTTGATTGTTAGTATGAGGGTTGGAGATGGTGCACCGGTTTCCAGAAGTAAGAGGCCATCGCGGGCGGATATCAACAGAAAATAAAGCAAAATACACTTCATGCTTGTTTTCTCCATTACACCAGCTATATACCAAACAGATTTAAAACTCAATATTTCAGTGTTTACATTACATTTCAAGTGTTACCACCACCAGTTCCACAGGAATGATATGACCTTGTGGAGAGGTTCCTGTGAACAACAAACTAGAACCAATTGAAGATATCGTGGTCTAGAGACGAATTTAGTTTGCGGCTCAAGTCACGCGATTAGAGTCCCTAATTCCGATCGAGTAGCGATTCCACTATCACTGTAGCGTAAAGTTGGAATTGGCAAATGCGCAGAGATCAAAAAGTGGGATAATAGATGTTACTATATTGCTTTCACATTTTATTTAAATTAGCATGACATCTAATAAACAATTACAAGCTCTCCTTGTCACAAATACAGTCTAGGTTCTTAAATTTTTACTATTGCGCTTTGGAGATGGTTTATTTTTCTTTAAAAATTGCGACAATAGATGCAGAGAGAGAAAAAATAAGTGACGTCATGTAATATCGTGCTTGATATGTTTAGTGTTTTCTAACAGATTCTAATTCTTGCATGTGCTGACAACTTAATGGTTATAATTCAGCAACCAGGATCAGTAGTCCCTGTATGATAATACAGACCGTGTGGAAAATTTCATCTCTCTGCTCTCTGCAAATTTAAATGACTAGATGGTGGATTTTGATGACCTAGAACATCACCAAAAATGATCAATAAAATGCCCTTAAAGTGTTTTAAAAATTCCACTAAAGTAAAGAAAAGTCACGTAAAACAAATGATTGGAACAAGTTCAGATGAACAACGCAAACTATTGGGGATGTTACTGATTTAATAGAGACTTCAATTCGTTCAGGTGCACTCAGCTTGCAAACTTGTGGTTTGAAATGTTCATTGGAACAGTCCAAACTCTATGCTTTTAGTTGCCCTGAAATCGGCCGAACCAACAATGGCGCTGAGAGGCGTAACAGGAACCTTAGATTACATACTTACAATTACATTTTTTGAGCGAAGAAATCGAATAGGCTACTTAGAAATTCTGTGAAGAATTCACTGCATCAAATATTGTAGCAAGTACCATTAAAATTATATTGAAATCGATGAAATCAGCGAGAAATGCATTGAAAATGACGGTAAAAGGTAACAAATGACATTAGTCGATATCGACGAAAAATGCAAACAAAAATTCATATAAAAATGTGTCATTTCCTTTTGTCATAACTAAATATTAACGTATATACTAGTTCTCTCATCAATACGTACATTGTAAAGTGAAAATAAAAAAACTGCATTTCATTAAAATCCTGTGCACGTCTTCAAAAAATTATCTGTGCATGTCTTCTAGAGTTCAGTGGGAGTTCAGTAGTATTTCAAATTATCATTCTCCATGTTATCGCAGTACGAAGTGGAGGCATTCCTTCACAAAGGACATGATGAAGGATGAGTCAAAAACTATGGCTGATTTTCCCTTGAAAATAGATTTTTTACATCTGAGCGAATATTCTTAACAATTCTTGTCAAAAATGCTCATTTTTTTTGATATTCAAAATTCAACTTATGTATGGCTTAGGGTAGGGATACCAGAATTAAGAAAACCTGCACAGAATACACTTTTCTCCCCGTAAGAAGACCCTCACAGTTTTTAACTATTTTTGGCGTAAAATTAAATATTATTAAATATTTTTGGCGATGCTATCCGAGAGTTAATGCGAGGAATGGATTTCCAAAGTTTTATTGTTGAATTTTGAAATTTCTACACATCAGGGACGATGTGGACATAGGGAATGGATCCAGAAACAGATCGTTGCCTCTTCTATTTTTGCGTATTTTTACTTTCCGCATACATACGTACATACATAGTATAGGGACATGCGTAGTATAGGGAAATTTGTAGTAATGCTGCGAAAATCGCTTTCGAGATTGTCGTGGAAGTACACGTTTTGGAGTCCCCTGATATTAAAAAGTGTTGTTTTTTTTTCAAAACGTCCGTCCGTTTGTCTGGTGAATGTGACCAACACTAGAGCCTAAATCATGCATAGGATTTTTTCTAAATTGAAAACACTCGTGTCCATTTGGTTCGATTCAAACCTTTGAGATTTTTAAAAACATTCTTCAAAATTTGGAGGATCTTTAGATTAAGCCCTCCGGACATTTTCAAAATTTTCTCAAAAACGGCTCTAAAGTTTTTCTTTAAATTTCTTGTAAGAATAGAGTAACATACACTTATAAAAGTTGCATAGATCCAATTTTCACAGTTAACTCTGATTTTTCGAAAATTGCAAAAGTATTAATGTTTTCGTTGTCTTCCTAAACTACAAAATTAAATATAGTTTTCCTTCAAATACAATTACTTCTCCTTAGTGAGTTCTATCACTGAGGTCATGTACATTTTTTTTAAATGTTAGTAGTTTTCGCGCAATATGGCGTGCAACATGTACAACTTAAAAAAAATACAAAAACAATATTTTCTCAAAAATTGCTTCAATTATTTTCTCTAAACGTTTGGTAGAGATAGTGCTAAGTGTACTCTGTAAGATGACATAAACGCCATACTGCTCTATTGGTTTGTTTTTCAAAAATTACAAAAATGTAATTTTTTTACTTGCTTCTCACGCACTCGACACGGCTGTGCAACGCAGAGGTCTATATACTTCGCACCACCTGCATCGATTCCAACTATAAGTTCACCTTCCGCCTTTCGAGCAGTATGACTAGTAAATTTGCGAACCAGGAATTGAACAGTGACGATTTTGCCTTAATAAGAGACGCAGTATGTAAACCTTCTTAATCTACGTTCATTTTTAATCAATTGCATAAAGATATTTGTACAAATAAATCATTCAGTAATAATCAACTTTCATTAGTAACCTTGGTGTTCAAAGTTAAATAAATAAATAAATAAATAAATAAATAAATAAATAAATAAATAAATAAATAAATAAATTTAATTAACTAATTACTTAATTTATTTTTAACGCGTGTACGGTTCGCGCAGGTGTCTGACACGGTGGTGGAGCCGTACAACGCGACGCTGTCAGTGCATCAGCTGGTGGAGAACACTGACGAGACATTCTGCATCGACAACGAGGCGCTCTACGACATCTGCTTCCGCACGCTCAAGCTGCCCACGCCCACCTACGGAGACCTCAACCACCTCGTCTCCTCCACCATGTCGGGCGTCACCACCTGCCTCAGGTACGTTTGGTGCCCGGTTCGATTTTAAGATAGCTAACTGACTGATTCCTTGTTCAGTTTATTGGTTAATTATCTGGTTACTTACTTGTTTAGTTAGTTTTTTGTTTAATCGGTTTATTTTCTGTCTGGTTAGTTTGTTTTTTCGTTAGGCATTGCTTCGCTGCTTACGTTTTGCTCTATTAGATATTTTCTTAGATGGTTAGTTCGTTAGTAATTTAGTTGGCTTGTTATTAATTATGTTTGGCGTTTAGAACATCATTTGAACTTCATTTATTAGTTGATTAAACGATTGTCTGGCTAGTTGTCATATAATAGATTCGTTGCTATAAACTAAGTTCGTTTGTTAATTTGTCGATTAATTTGTTAGATTTTTTGGTTCATCGAAAGATATTTGTTGTAACATTAGCTAAATTCCCTCTTATTAAGGAAATGTGAAATCAGTCCAAAATATCATTGTTTTTATAGTGACTACATTTATTTTATGAATATTGAACATTACTTACATTCAAGGTTTTAAGTTTTACAGTACTTCCATGGCTTATAACATATTGCAAGCATTGCTTATAACGTTTCCAGTTATGCAGAAGTCTTTGAATACCATACCAAGAAAAGAAGAAAGATGAAAAAGAGAAGTAAGAGAAAAGAAGAAACAAGAGGTAGTTGGAAAGAAAATACAAAAGGAAGAAGAGGGAAGAGAAGAAAGAGAAAGAGAAGAAAAGAATGCGAAAAGAAGGAAGGGAAGAACGTAGAAGATAAGGGTAAAATAAACAAGTAGAAAATTTAAGAAGGAGGAAAGGAAGTAGAAGGGTGACAAGATGATGGTGAGGAAGGTTTGCAGAAGAGAAAGGGGAAAAGTAGAAAGAGAAAATTAAGAAGAAGAAGAAAAAAAAGAAAAAGAAGCTGGATTGACAGCCCAACCCAGTGTGTTCTCTATTCTCATCATGAATTGTGTAATATAGGTCTAGAACAGAGGGACCAGATAGCTCTAGGTATTCAAATGAATGAAGAAGCATATCCAACCATTTTCTAATTAGATAAATCATACAGGAACAATCAACTGCAAAGAATTCTTCTGTATATTGAATTCTCATTTTTCATATTAAAAGTATCATTCAATAGAAACTCTTCTCGTATTGAAATTATGTGTCACTGATAGGCCCCTGAAAGAGGTTGACTACATGTTATCTGCTTCCTCATATTGTAATTAATGATATCATCTCAATCTAAGCCCTTCTATCTGATATTTATAATAAGAAACTTTTTAGTATTATAATATAAATCTATTCCACTTGAACTGCTACGATTCACAACCTCACTTCCCCATCTTCAGTAAAATTGGACTCGTCTGACACATCTGTGTAGTAGGCGCGGTCAAGTAATTGTTAACCTTTGCAGTGCCAAGAAGATCAATCTCCTTGTGTCCAGGCTACTGTCTGATACAATGTTTTAGAAATCAACTTACAAGCAACCAAAAAGAAACGAAAATGCAATACAGCAAAGAAGAATTCACACCTTCCACAAATGTTGATAAGATAGTAAAATAAGGCAATATATAATTTACCTAAATCCAAAGTCAGAGAAATTCAATATATTTACATAATTCACCCCACTTGTACACAGTAAAAAGTATGTACTCATTTCATACATATGTTTTAATTTATACATAAAATGTATTTGCTGTGACACTAATGAGACAATGTAAAAGGGCCTATGTGGATGAAACTTGTAGCCTGAAAATATGAAAAGGATGTAAAATTGTTTTATCAGTCTTTCGAAAAAGCTAATTCTCCTTTATCAGTATCTACATTACTCATTTCCGAAACGCGCAGAAATTCGAAAATGATACTTCGCAGCCTTCGACCTTATGAGAGGTGTCAGGTTTTCGTTATATTGGGCATATTTGCTGCTGCAGTCCACGAAATTGAATATGTGAAATAACGGTAGGGAATGACAGAAAAGTTACTAGACACATTTCGCGACAGAAATATCAATACAGTTCTCTGCATGTAATGTGATCTGGAGTGCATCAAGTTTTGCGCTGTAGCAGTCTGACTCCTGAGTGAAGTGTTACTTACGGCCGATGTACTTTATCCTGTGTATAAGCACGTCAGGATGAATTACGTCAACGTGTTGCCATAGAAAACATCACGAGCTCTCCTGTAGCATGACAAGCAGGCTTCAACAAAAAAAACAAGTTTTTTTCATAACAATAGTTGTTGTTTTTTATGAAAACAAAGCGAACATGAGCCGGCCCAAACAGGAAACACAAAAAGCAGTAGTGCTGAAGTGAATGTGGTTCGCAAGTTCGTGCCACACGTAGGCATCAGTGTTTTCACCCTTTTGTTGAGGCATGATTGGCTTGCCAACCCTTCGTGCATCACCTTTCCTAACGCATCCTGTCAATTTTGGTCGAGGAGCTTGCATAGGAGGCAAGTATCTATTACATATTGGTTGGTTGACCTCTCTAATTTCTCAGTTGTGTTTGTGATATGGGCAACATTTCCTGCACCTTATGTATCTGTATGTAAGTGAATGCACCTTATGTAAGATAGATTTTCAGATTTACTTATCACATACGAGCATTCTAACTTTCTTTTAATTCGTTTTCCTTCCCTGATAAGAAAAGTGTTCGCGACGTACGGGCCCAGTCGCAGCGACGTCCCTCTAGGTAGGGTCTGGCTGCCTTTCTCTAAACGGACTAAACCTAGAGATAGACTCACGACCTTTGCATATTCCGGAAAATTGTATAACGTGACTGAAATTGGTTCGCGAGCTGCAACGATTCATTGGACGGTAAGACGTGTATGCATAAAGGAAGACGCATCTAGATAAAAAAAATAGCCTCTTCCGGAGAAGAAGACGTCTGAAAGTATCGAATAAAGCCGAACGCAAAATACTACAGAAATAATACATATTCATTACGCTTATGTTCTACTTGAAAATTTCAATATTTATAGTTTTGGCAGGTGTTAATACGCCCAGTTTTATTCGGTGACATTATTACATATTCTTCTCGCCCTGTGAAAACTCTCCACTTCATTTGGCGTTGGATTAATACATAACCAGTCTTAGTAAGAGCATTTAAGACCTCCTGCGGATAGCGAAGCCGAATCATCTTTAAATAAAACTTTATAACAATTCATAAACATTAATATATTTTAATATTAATTTATAGCATTGAAAACGCTACAGTTTGTTTTCACGTTTGTTCTAGTTATTTCTATTCAATTTTTTTGAATATTGTTTCCGTTAGCGGTTTCTCAGGAGAGGGAATGGGGAAAAACCTCTTCACGCATTTTCTTATTCTGAATGTAATTACCAAATAAAATATTTTATTTGATCTTTGAGGGAAAATATATAATTTTTAGGTGGTATATCTGAGGAAATTCACTTTGATTGATGTTTTAAACAAAGCCCGCCCCGCGTTTTAACGTCACGAAATCGAGTTCAAATCGCTCTGTGGAGAAACCTACAGCCTTTCCTCCTCTGAGAAGTAATAGGCCATTATCCCACAGCGCTCCTGGCCACCTCCAGCTTCCTCCCACAGGCAGAAGAGGAAATGATTATTATAGGACTTGCTGACCGTGTTCATTTCAACACTACTGCTTTTTGTGTTTCCTGTTTGGGTCGGCTCATGTTCGTTTTGTTTTCATAAAAAAACTATTTTTATTATGGGACAGCTCGAGTATTCCTCCTCTCTTACATTGATATCTACAGGCGTCTCTGACAGATGTATCAACTCATTAGACGTGAGCGATATATCACGTCAATAAAAGTATTTGACGGTCTCTGGAAGAGCAGAGCAGCTGGCTCACTGTGTACTGTAATCTCACATCGTGAACTGGCGCCCCACAAACTAAACTGTTAAAAATAATTTGCCCTTGCTCCATCGGCACTTTGAATTGACATGTTTATTTTTGATTATTTTTTATAAGTAGTTTATGCAGTTGACTTCTTTGCCTTTCCTCCTCTTGAGAAAAGTGCACGAACCACCACCGGTGGAACAACTGTTTGACCAAGCTTCTGTCATTTAAGTCATAAATTTGGTCGTGAATAAGCTCCATCTGGCGTATCGACTTAGGTGGCTAAGGCCATCAATCAATGACACTGAGCGGATGCCTCTCACTGGGTGGTCCTGGGATTCAAGTCCCGAGGGTGGCAGGATTTTCGGCACTAGCTACGTAGCTAGGTCAAATTCAGCCGTCTGGTACCCTAACAAATGGGCCACGGAACGCGCTTTATCTGACCCTTCTCCTCCTTGTCCTATCTTCGCTTCTTCTTATACACACTAACATACACTCTACTACCACTCATGACGGGAGACCAGTCGGGAGCTTAGAACCCGTCCCGGCTAGGCCGGTGCCCCACTGGTGGGAAGTACCTGGTGGAGAAAATCCCGCATGCCGACGAATAGGTCATCGGATCTCACAATCCAGCGGGGGAACATCACCGCTATTCCCCTCGATAAAATCATGCAGAACACCTACGCGACTATTGATCTCAGCAATGATCGTGCTCGGAGTCGACAAAAAAATCCATCTGGCGTGGCACCTCTTGCGGTTGCAGGTTCCCCGGGCAGCTGAACGCCGACCTGCGCAAGCTGGCGGTGAACATGGTGCCGTTTCCGCGCCTGCACTTCTTCATGCCGGGCTTCGCGCCGCTGACGTCGCGCGGCAGCCAGCAGTACCAGGCGCTGACGGTGCCCGAACTCACGCAGCAGATGTTCGACGCGCGCAACATGATGGCAGCGTGCGACCCGCGCCGCGGACGCTACATGACGGTGCGTTAAACTCCCCCCCCCCCGCGTTGGAAAAGAAATCAAACGTTGCCCTATTTTCCCACTCGTACCGGCTGAGGTGGCTCAGGGCTATCAATTGATGTCACTGCAATCTCTCTCATCAGGAGGTTCTCGGGTTCGAGTCCCGACGGTGGTAGGAGTTTCGACACTTGCTAGATGACTAGGGCGAATTCAGCTACTGTCTAGACGTCCGTTGCTCTGCTCGATAGTTTTCCGTGGTTTCTCCGATCAACACACGGCGACTGCCGGGGCAGTAACCTAATAAACGTGCCACGGACCGTTCGCGATATTTCCATCCCCTTCCTTGACCTGTCCTCAAAGAAATACGATAACTAGCACGAGAAAGCCTTTGCCATTCTGGAGCACCTATAATTAATTCGATACACTTGTAATTAGTTTATCAATTTTTACATTTTATCTTTTTATTAAAATATTTATATTTTTAATAATCATACTTATAAACTAAATGAATCCCACGTCTTCTGTTGGTCGATATTGAACAATAATGTAAAATGGAATTAATTTTATTTATATTTTTACATTATAATTAAAGATAATTGTATTTATTGGTTTGAAAATTAATAATATTATCTCCCCCTGTGCCTCTAGGATGGCTTGTGGGCAGTGTGCAAGCGTCAGGTGATGATGGCTTCAGGCATTCGATCCTCTGTCGAACCAAAAATAGAGTTGTAGCTTTGCTTTAAAATCGTGTCAGTAATTGTGTTTGTGTGACGAAGAAAACATCAGACAGCCAAACTAGCTAGTTGAAGTGAAGGGAATACAGTATGTGCGCCTCATGTCTCTCTTACCCCCACTTGTGGGAATTAAACTAGACCCATGCATGGGGGGCACCGTCGGACAAAGTGGACAATCGACTCGAAAATGACAAATACATACACATCTCCTTTTGCAAAATATAATAACAATTCCTTCTTACGTCATTTGTTGTAGTATTGGAATACTTTTGCCGTGTATTTTTTTAATTAAAAATTTCAGGGGTTTCCCAACCGGTGAAGCTTAAGCGGCCCATAAACATACAAACCTGGCTTGCAAGTGTTGTAGATCTGTTAATATCATAGAGGAGCAAACTCGTAAGTCTGTATTTTGCTGGTTGTATATCTTTTGCCATCAAAATGATGCTCCAACAAAACAGGTTTGCAACCGGGATATGCTCGTGTATGGGCTCCGCTAGGACCCATAAGCCAGCACGCCCGGCTCTGCGCCCACCGTCTTAGAAAAAAACCCTTACAGCGTTTGTACTGCGCTTGCAGGTGGCGGCGGTGTTCCGGGGTCGCATGAGCATGAAGGAGGTGGACGAGCAGATGCTGAACGTGCAGAACAAGAACAGCACCTACTTCGTCGAGTGGATCCCTAACAACGTGAAGACGGCCGTTTGCGACATTCCGCCGCGCGGACTCAAGATGTCCGCCACTTTCATCGGCAACACCACTGCCATCCAGGAGCTGTTCAAGCGCATTTCGGAGCAGGTACGAAGGACAAATTGACATCGTGGACACTTTAGGGAACTTTCAACAAAAACGTACACTGAAATCTTCATTTGCCCAACAATTTGTTTTAAAAAGTGCTCTATCCACTATATGCTCTTCGTTCAGTGCAAGTACATTCCATGAATCACCCTTCTTTGCGATTGATACAATTGTGAAAATGTGAGTATTATAAGAAATAATTAAACACGTGTAAAGTAATTATATAATTAATGTAAGCTTAACGCGAAATGCTGACCGGGAGGTCCTAAGGTCGAGTCCCGACTGTGCCCGAATTTTCGAATCTAGCTATACAGCTATGTTGAATCCAGTCGCTTTCTGGAGGACAATTCTAGCTGCCGACTAATCTGATCGGTAGTTTTCCGAGGTTTCTCCGATCAACAGCCGAGGAATGCCGGAGCAGTACGAGCTACGGACCGCGTGCTCCCTTTCATTCCTCTTCATTGTCCTCTCTTCATCCCTTACTTACACTCACTACACTCGCATGCACTACACTACTACACATACAAGGAGACTAGTCGGGAGCTTACAGCTTGTCCTGACCGGGGCGGTGCCCCGCTGGTGGGAGATACCTGGTTGAGGAAAGCCCCGCAGGCCGACAGGTATATGGGCGCCGGATCAAGTCATCTAACCGGGAATATCACCACTGCCACCTCTCGCGATAAAATGCACTACAGTTACGAGACTACTGGCCTTAGCAGTTGATGCACCTCGAATTACTAATCAATCAGCCATTACTTCGAAGCCCGCTTTAAGACACTTTCCGTGTCTCTTCTGCCAAATTGTCTTTTCGAACCTCTAGTACAGTTCCTACTCACCATTTCCACTATAGAGGTTTGTAGCGAACCAATAAACTCCGCTCCCCGCAACCCACACTCGGCCTCTTCCAAAAACCTGATGAGTATACCCCGCACTATAAAAAAGTTAAAAAATACACATGCAACGATGCACTTAAAATTGTCAGTATATGCACTTAAAACTCAGAATATGCAATAAACTAAAATGTATTTAGCATTTTATTTTATAAAATCTTCATTTTACACTGTAGAACAAAAGGCGTGTAATAAAAAAATATTTTCAAACATAATAAATAAAACATTATTAAGCGAGAGAACCAGTAGCATTGTTACAAGATGTAACATTCTGCCCAGCTTGCTAAGTTTATGGGCACGAGTATAAAGTTACAGGAAGTAAATGGATTCAAGGGCAAACAATATTGTGAGAAGACTATCGGAAAAATATTATGTTGATATTATAGCATTAGCATGGCTTAATTAACTTTCCTTTTAAAGGAGAAATACACGAAAATATCTGATTTCGATCCATGTCTACACAAAAACTTGTAATATATGCATTTAAATATGCTGTATAAATAAGTAAATGTTTAAAGAAAAAATCTCAGAAATGTGCAATAGTGCGAAATAAAAATGGGTTCTTTTGTTTTATTTTTGGTGATAAGTAAACTTATATACATTTCCTTTCAATATGCACAATCAGTAAAAAATGCAATTGCATGATGTTCCACGCTCGACTGATGAGTTTTTATCTTTCCGCCAAGTAAATCATATGTGGGACCGAAGTCACAATTCCGCCTTTGGCAATGAACGAATTGGCGTCTCGTCTAAAGTACTGCTCCGAAATTCGACTGTGGCATCGTTGGCCCCAGCTATTTATTCTTCTTCTTCATGCCGTTTTCTTGACAGCTACTTCGGTCTTCCGCCGCCTAAATCTTCTTCTCCAGTCGTCCCTGTTCTTCCAGGAATCAGGAAGTAATTTCCACTTCTCGATTATCTTTCTAATTTGGTCGTTCCATCCTGGTCTTGGTCGGCCTCGTTTTCTCCTTTTCACTTGGTTGCCATTCTAGGGATCTTCTGGGTAGTCTTTCATCCATTTGCCGTACATGTCCAAACCAAGTGAGTTATTTCTTTTCAATTTCCTCCATAATATCATGTTGCAGATTCATTATTTCCTTAACCCGTTGATTCCTTATTCTTCCCTTCTGGATATTGATGTAGCTCTTCTGAGGAAATCCATTTCCAAACCTCTCAATTTTCTTTTCTGTTGTTCTGGAATATGCCATATTTCTGCTCCACACAATGTAACACTCAATAATGCATTTATATATTCTAATTTTCTTGCCTATATTTGGATCTCAGATAACTGAATTCAGGGCTCCTAAAATTTTTCTTCCTTTAAAGAGTCGGATTTCACATTATTTTCCTTAAAAAAATTGTTTTCCTATTGTTGTTCCCAAGTACTTTATGTCCTCTGTTGTTATTTTTCCTCAGTTTCCATACGTCATGTGTACTGCCTAAAGTCCAGTATATTGTTTTTTTAGATTGAGGCTTAGTCCCCATTTCTCATAATATTATTTTATCTTCCTAATCATATATTCAATATCTTATTGTTCTCGTGCCATCAGCACCTGATCATCAGCGAACTGTAGGGTATAGAGTGTTGTATTATCATCAAATTGTATTCCCATCTCAACATATTTTCTTTTCCATACCTTTAACATCGTATTAGCATACATTTTAAAGAGGGTAGGAGACAAATAGCATCCTTGCCGTAGTCCTTTTGATATAGGAAATGTTTGGGTCATCTGTTTTCCAACTTTCCCTTTTCTATATACAATTTATTCACCGCATTTAATCCGATTTTATTTACATTTAGCTATTTATTCGAAATCGAAAATTCGCCTCAACGAGACTCGAACCTAGAACCTCATTTTCTGTGAAGTGTTAGTTGTGAACACTCAATTACTTAGATTTAGAAAATTCACTCTCTCCAAAGTCTTACATCAACAAAAATGAAACTATGTCACGTCCGCACTTCAAAATTCCAAACCGATTTAAAAAATGCACGGGTCCACAATAATTGATATATTCAGTATAACAATATTATAAATTATTTACCTTATGAATTTTTTAATTGATTCTTAACCCCCACAACACTCTTCTTGGTCATATTTTTCTTCTGGATATTTTTTGTAATGAACTGGTCATTCTTCACTGTTTCATTATTTCTCCTACCTCTGATGAGGTTTAATTGAATATTCAAATGTTCTATTTCAGTCCTCTGTGGCGCCATGGAAGGTAGAAATTCAAATAGTATTTTATCTAGTGTGACACATGGTTTGCATTTGAGGAAGGTTTACTTTCGAGAACACTAGGTAAACTTTGAGTTATCAAAACGTGCATGAAATAGTAATTCCCTTTATCATCGATGACTGATAAGAGATAGTATGAGAAGAGATGAGTGAGTAACAGTGGAAAACCTTTTAATACTTGTTTTCCTGGTGATCCTTGCGGGAAGTCGGAAGGAAGCGCCATCAACTAGGTGAACTTGCATTGTGCTCAATTAACAAAAATCCCAACTTCAATATAAATTCACGGAACGATGCAAGAATTCAAGGCTGCAATGTAAACCATATTAGACAGTGTTCTCGAATACACAGTGTCACTCATGAGATAAAGAATAATTCCACTTAATGTCACACATGAAAATTGGACTAATAATTCATATTGTAGAATGGAATGTCGATGTATGTCCTAAAACAGTATTTCTTCCCCATCAACGTTTTTATAAATGTTACGCACCTAGTAGCGCTCCAACAATCAGTGCAAAACTCTTCCCTTAAATATCTCAAAAACCGTAGACCAATTCGGAGGGTGAGATGAATAACTACATGGACGTAATGGCTTAAATATTTGTCTTGCTCTTGACTACCACATGAAATTATAGCTAAATCTCTCATCTATGACAGTCTCTCACGAATAATGTACGTAACTTGATGTTACTCGTAGATGATCAAAATAACGTTGAACATTGACTGAGTCAAACGCTATGATCGCGGGAAGCAGCTCATAAAATTGCGGTAAAACCTACCCTCCCAGCTATCCATATTTTGTTGACCCAAGAGGAGAATGACACACGTAAAATCATCATTTGAGTTAATTGAACCAATATGTTTAGAAAATGGTATATTTTGCTTGTTAAAATCCCCCAACATTTGCATGGGAATTTGCAGAGAAAAACATATCGTCTTTGCTTACGAAATCAATGTCTTTTCTAAGATTAAAACGATTCTCTTACAAAATAATTTTGAGTGATTTTGTGATTCTGAGACATTGCATTCTGTCACAATTGCGACACTTGATTGATTTGTTATTTTTTTTCGGGTCTGACAACAGCTACGGTCATTAGTCTTGTTAATGTAGTGCATATTATACACCGGAAGGTGGCGGTGCCCTTAAGTCGAAGAGTGTAAGGGGAGAGGTGGGGATAAGGATGAGGAAGGAAAGATCGTGCGCCATCCGAGGGACGTTTGTTAGGGTCCTGCTCCCACATTCGCCTGGATTGGTCGGAGAAAACATGGAAAACTACCGATCAGAGCAGCCAATCGCTAGAATACTTCTCCAGAGAGCGGCGGAATTCGTCCCAGCAATCTCACTGGCGTCGAAAATCCGCCAACGTTACGATTCGAACCCTAAAGGTACATTCGCAATGCATACATATACATAATCAGGGCGTTAACGTAAAAGTTATTTGTCCATAAACTGACTCATTCACAATTCGTTCACATAAGCATGACTCGTATGATTTTAACTTAAAATCTTACAAGCTTCAATCTTTTGTGCTTATGCTTAAGTAAGACATAAGAAATGAATCAATCACAGTACGTTAACTCAAAATCGAGAATCGAAAGAGGACCAAAGTCGATAGACGAACTAACGCCATATGGGCCATGGGCACAGTCGAAACCTCGAAATCGATTCTCACATCCGTACAATAGTAAACTAATATAAACTCTTTATTTTACTTACATTTATGTCAGACATTGTGAATACTTCAGTCTATCATGTATGTTAATGTTTGCGTTATGCTTATGTTTACGTTTGAATTGTGTATGGTCAGAGACACTACACTAGCAACAGTATTTGCCCAGAGCTATCTGAGGCGAGGTGGGTCATTTTTTTGTGAAGTAGCTTTCCTGGTAGAGACACCCTACGAACGTCCGAACTTAATGAGCACCTCTTCTGTCTCGACAGTTCTCCGCCATGTACCGACGCAAGGCCTTCCTGCACTGGTACCTGGGCGAGGGCATGGACGAGATGGAGTTCACGGAGGCCGAGTCCAACGTGAACGACCTCATCTCCGAGTACCAGCAGTACCAGGACGCCCCCGCCGAGGAGGAGGGGCCCTACGAGGACGAGGAGGAGGAGCCGGAGGACGCTTGAGGACGCAGGAGCCCCCCCTCCCCCGCCCCCTTCGTCTGACGTCTTCGCGCGTCCACACTTCCCCCCCACCCCCACCATCACTTTGAAAGAGAAAACGGAACCAGGTCGTCAAAATTGCCCTCTTATTTCACTGTTCATAATTTTGAGGCCACTTTATGGAAAAAAACGGAAAAATAAAAAACATTGGGCACTGTCGTCGTAGAATTTATTTCCGTAATACGTTGTAAATATTATCTGCAATCGTGTCGTGACTTCCTATGAAATACAGCAGATGGTTCAGTTTTACCAACAAACGCCTGATTGATTTACGCAAAAGATAAAATTTACTTATGTAACAAGAGTTTCTCGAAACATACCGTTTTAAACAATCAATGACTTTTTTGACATATAAAAAAAAGAAATACACATGAAGGGTAAAAGATAAATACACCTAAAACACAATATAGCAATGGTGTTGAAACCGATGACGCTTAGAAGATGACAATTATTGTCTTGTAATGTCTTTCCTGGATATGAAACTATGGCGCGAAGATATCATAATCATAGTTCAGTGGAAGATACACTTCTATTTGACTTATATTGTTCTGCAAAGCTTCCCTTATAAATTCAAATTGGTTAAAAATTAGAACGTTTTGGTACAATGTGTGAATCTTTTGCAAGTACTTTCACGAATATTTTATATTGCTTCTGATTGTAAGTGCTAAGTGCAAGGTGAAGAGGAATTGGTAATGAAGTTGGGAGAATCTGCAGTACGTTCAAAGATAAGAAGATTCAAAATGTAGGGGTGGAGGCGTTACCGAAATCACGTTTTCCAGCTAGACAGAAAATCACGTTTTTTTCAGCGTCGCTCTCCGAATTAATTAACTACACTCCTTGAAGTCTTGGAGGTAAAGCAACTCCAGGCATAGCTTAAGCAGGTCCTGTATGAGTGACCGTCTGGGATCCAACGGAACGGCGCCGAGCACCTGGCCCGAAAGGCATTAATTGACTACGACTAACGATGGTTCACTAGGTTAAAGAAGGATTATTCCACGGTTGCGTTCGACGCCAATACAGTACTTCTATTTGACTTAAGGACTTTCGTTGTTTTGGTTATAACGAAAAACGAAACAAAACCTTTAAAAAAGGTTTGTTTCCATAAAGTGCTTGTACTAATAACCCGAATCAAATACTAATTAAAATTTGTTCTGCTTCGCTTTTGATATAAATTAGCAGCATCCATAGGGATATTGACATTTGGCAATAATTTGAATACCTTAAAATATGACAAAATATTTTGAAAAATTGCGCAATTTTTTCTTTTACAGAAATATATTTCTGGGTGAAATGAAAGCCAAGAACCTACTTGGTTCTTTAAATTCAATGTGTTTTTTTCACAATAATGTTCACCATAATACAATAAATAACACACAAAAATACAATTCAAAAAATATAATAAAGTTCTTCGTAAGTAGTGTATCTTCGTTGTAACGTTTAAGGACTATTTCTTGTTTTTTTTAACTAAATAGGAAAAAATTATTTTGACTATTCCTAATAGTGAAAGCAAGGCTTGGAGTAAGATGGAACTTTTCTCTTGATATTACAACAAAGTAACAGAACACAATGTAGTTGATGCGAGTATAAAAGAATAAACATTATATAATTAAAAAATTAAAATACTTAGTAATTAAAATACTAGTTGTGATAAACTATACACAACGAAGTAGAAACTCTGTCAGTCCGTAAAATTTCTCGAACATGGAAATTATTTTTTCAATAATAGGGGAGGCGTAGTAATTGAAAACGAAAACAAATTCGGTCTCGTGTTTCTAAATTAATTATTAAACGCTTTTATTTATCTGGAACTGTTTGTAGTAAAATCTTCCAACAACAATTTGTATGCTTCTAAGTTAGATTTTTAAATGCGCGTATGACGTAACGGCACATAATTATGATTATGGTTTACTAGCTCATTACTGTATGAATATGGATCTGAAACCAAAAATCAGTAATATACTTTACACTCTTGAGGGCCTTTCGTATTCTTTAAGCCAGTGCGGGCCATTTGAATATGTTATGCTCGCACCACTACCAGCAGAACAAATCACTGATTTTAGTTCTTACTACTTTTCTTTTCTTCTAACAGCGAATTTTCAACACAAAAACTCTTATGGCCCGGCCCTGCTAAGAAAAAACTGGTTAAATCCAGTTGTTAAATGTAGGGGGGAAATTGCTCTAATACGTGGTGTAGCCAAAATCGATGTTTTGTGCGCCCTTAATACCGAAAGATCGATTACGCACAATTATCGATCGCACAACGCTAGCCCATAAGTCGATTTTCTCCAACATTGATATTCCTCAATCGTTCTAGCTGATGTCGCGGACCCTGGAATTTGATGCCAAAATTTTAATTTTGGGAGTTCTTTACATAAAACCTCTGGGACATTTTCAAAATTTTCAAAAAAATGGCTTTAAAGTGTTTGATTAAATTTTGTTGTTGAAAGGACGTTTAAGAAAATGGTGCAGATCTCATTTTCATTGACATCCCCTATTTTTGCGAAAATTTGGGAGACAATTCAAAACTTCAAATTTGGTGATAGATATTTTTGTCTGAGACAAAGTCTGTTACACATAATTACGTCTATAAAAAAGGTAATGTACAACTTTTATGAAAAAACAAGTAGTTTTTTAGTACTTTGAGATTGAAATTGTCAAAAAATCTCAAATACGCTTCAGTTTTTTCTTTCAATTTTCTCCACATATGTAATAAGAAAGGGTAAGAAATCTAGCACTATCCTCATTTTCGGGTATTGCTCTTTTTTTCGAAAATTGCAAAAAATATTCAAAACTGCAAAATTGAAGATGTTAGAGATTTTTGCCTCAGACAAACTCTTTATGTACAAAATTTGCTCTTCACAAAAGGTCATGTTCAATTTTATTGAAAAAAGCAAGTAGTTTTGCGTAATTTCTGCTTGAAATTAATGAAATTTATGCAGGTTTCGAGAAGTCGTAGGCTTCCGCGGTCGGAGTCATGTGAATGATCTTGGCTGTCTGGGTGACGCCGCGTCGAAGACTTTGTAGCCAACGTTTCGACCATCTTATCGTGGTCTTCCTTAGGGCTGATCTGCCGACCTTCCTCAGGGCATTTACAGGTTTCACTCCAACTACGGACCATCTTCCTTTTATGGCAAAAATGGCGCTTTTACGAAGAATTGATAAGAAAATATGTACCCATTGTTGGCAGCGCCCATCGTTGCATGCTCTCTTTGTTGTCTTTGTTCTTCGAATGAGATGTGTTGATATAGTAGACAGAAATGCGGTATAATAATATTACATAACCGTTACTAAGGGGGTGAGAAAGTATGTAGTGTTATAGCTCCTCTAGTTTATGAATTAAATTTATTAAACTAAAGAAAATTAACTCTATGAATGCAATATTTTATTTACTAATATCAAAATTGAAATTTTGGAATGTTGTCTCAAATTTTAACTCAATTAGAGAAATCAATTTTTTAAAAATCCAACATGCGGTTTAGGCACTAGTGCTGTGTGCATGGTGAATGTGTTGCATAATTTCAATTTCATGTATCATTTTCTCAATATCAGTAAATTACTTGGTACCACCGGAAGAATATTTCATTTGATCCAAATGAAAAGTCATTTAAATCCTGGTTTACGATTGTTATGGTTAAACAAACATTTGAAATATATGCATGTCGAATTGTAAAATGTATTTCTTTAGAAGTCTGCTGTATGGTACTCATCGAATATACGAATCACTGCCTTGGCAAGAGTGAAAGTTCTGAAACTGGGCGTTCATGCACACAATTCTACGTGCTGATACATGTAAACATACAATATATGTATATGTCGTATATGTCTGTCCGTGCCGTTCGTCCTTCTCTGAAAATCTCTAGTCGTCTCTGAAAAAAAAACTTCTAAACGTTCTAGACTTTTTTCCTTCCCAAAAATAGTTTTCAATTGATTTGGCAAGACTTGACTTCTGAAAAATAACAAAAAATACTAACTATATGCTTTTCGGGAATGTTGTGTACTTATAATAATTTAAAAAGAAACAATTTTGATCACAGCGTTTTTTGTTTTGTTTTTTGTTTGTTTTTAGTTAAACTTAACGTGTATTTTCATGTGATTCAAATAATGAATAGGTCCGACAAAATTTGGGAGGAAATTACGAGTCATGGTCTCGTTCTCTCTCAATCCTTCACCTATCTTTACCTGGAATTATTACTCTGTAATTCGAATAGATATCGACGTAGCCGTGCTCTTAGTAAAAGGTTGAAGGAGCGGTCAAAGGTCTTCCACGGGGAGATTCCATTGCGCACGCCCGTTCGACCCTTGCCCCACCAGCGCCGCTCGCGGCTTGGCGTGCAAACAGGGCGTCCCGGCACCGAAACGCCTGCAGTGACACGTTCTCAGTGGCTCCCCGTTGGAGGTCGTTTGTGTTGTTCTGCTGTCTACTTGCCGGTTGAGTCCGCGTCGTGGATCAGCTGGGCGGCATCGTTGTGTTGTTTGATTGAAGTAGGTACTTTATTTTTAAGTGTTCAATTATTTGGTACAATAAGCTTGCGAACACTGTGTACCGTTTTCGTGTTTACTCTGTCAACACCCGTTATGCTCCGTCACCAAGCGCTGGCGTTTAGTTAAGTGCTGCGGGCAGGGCGGAAACGTCATCGAATATTTCGGAAATACTTGAAATATTATTTCCCTCTGGCGGAATATTAGCCAGGGAAGGGGATATAATTTGAAAAAAGAAACATAAAATTAATTGCTGCTTAATTTTGGTTCCAACTTTTGTGTTTATGATTTAATTCGTCAATAGTAAACATAATGCCCCCTCTTTCAAATTCATCTATACCAATTAATGCAAGTTCAAGAGTATTTGAAATTGTTATTCATTGACTCTCAATAAATCTTGTATTTGTCTGTTAATTGAACAGACTGACATGTTTTAACTAGGAAATCTAAAGATCATGTTTGTAGCAAAATTATCAATACAAAGGAAAATTAGATTGCATCTGACGTGTTTACCAGTATTTTTTGGTCCTTTTTAATGATTACATTAGCATTGTGGATATTAAAGAAGAATGTATTCTCGTGCAGGAAATATTGGTTGATTTATTTTCACCAAAGTACAGATGTGATCATTTATAAAAATGGAAAATTCAAATTTTCAGGAAGGATAAGTTAAGGAGCAGAATGTTCAATTTGTAGGATATGAAGTGTCATGAAACAATTTTTAATCGACATTTTATAATTTCTGCTTTGTTGAAACGTGGTTTTGAATTCTAGAAAATGCTTCGGTGCTAGCCAGTATTATAGGAGAAACTTACAACTTATTGCTTTACTTGCAATTTGGAAGTGGTATTTTTTGGTGAATTGTTACAAAGTTGTGTCTACATTATTGTAATACTGTGCCTTTTAAACATTTGAAGAATCTTGTCAATTTCCCTGTTGGTAAAGGCATTGGTTAGTTAATTCCTTAACTCCATTCAAATAATGGTATTGTTAAAAGAATTTTAGCTTCCAATTTCATTTTGAAACAAAAATATCCTTGTAGATCAGGTGGATTGTAAGCAGGACGATTTGATAACACCACAATGTTTCATTAATGATATATCATAACATTTCTTTTACAAAATTTCAAACATTTTTAAACAAAAACCTCTCCACTCTTCAAGTTAGCCAGTCTCTTATGTTTAACAACAAAATTCTGAATTTTTGATTTAAATGTGATTTATTTTCCCCTTAATAATTTCTGCAGATGTAAATTTTAAAAAAAGTATGTAAATCTATTTCAGCAGTATATTACTCCTACTTAACGAAATCATACACTTCATTTCCCATGCATTACAACAAATTCAATCAGAATCCCTGATGTTACTACACCTACTCTCACATTGAAATATTTAATCATTATTGATGGATGAAAAGAACATATATGCACACAATTAGAATGGAAAAATATTTTATGTGCCATACTTTGTTTTCAGTTGTATTTGCTAGAAGTATTCTGAGATACGTGATAGATCTCGTATTTATACTAAATAATTATGTCAATTAACATGGAGCAAAATTTTGTCTAGTTAATAAAAAGGAATTAATTAAATTGGTTAGTAACCTAGAGATGTATTTAGTATATATCTAGCTTGTTTGCCAAAGGAGGAATTCTGGAGGACAAGAAGACTTGTGCAGATTTTATTTCTCCCTGTAATTCACATACAATTTTTACTGTGTTTTGATTAATAAGTAAAAATGTTTCTCCAGTTATATTTTAAGAATTAATAATATTTGCAAATGTAAAAAAAGAAAATTTAATAATTTTGTTTCGTAAATAATGAATTCTTCTGTACATCCCAAACATCAAATTTTAATTTTTCATGAATTATCAAAATGATAACTACATTTTGTGTGGATCAGCTCTAATAATCTTTTACATTTTTCTGGGTAAAATAAATGTAGAAAAGGTTATTTTTTGATCGGTTCTTTTGAATTTATGAATTGAAAATTATGTCTGCTCATTTTTTCAAAAAAGTGTGTATTATCAGAAAAGGTGGAAGTTAATTATATAAATTTGCTG